GGGAAAAAAAAATATCAACATGAGACAGGCGTTTTTTTCTTACATTTTCACGCTGAGCCCCACATTTTTTCTGCGCAGGCGCCCCTCAACGCCCAATGTGGCGGGGGGGTCTTTTCCCGCCCTTTTCCTTCGTTGAAAGGGTCTCCCACGGTCCGAACCGAGCTGACGACTTGACGCTGCAGATCTGGCTGGACCGGTGAGACCTCGTGCGAAGCCGGGTCGTCCTGCGTGGCCGTCGATGCGTCGTACAGCCACTGCGTGCGTGCCATTGCTGTGCGGCAGGAAGAGGAGCAGGAGCAGGAGCAGGGGGGTGACGCTGAGGAGGAGAAGGACAAGAAGAAGGAAGAGGACGCTGGGCAGGATTCTGAACAGGATTCGGGCAGCGGTTCTGGGGACGAGGAGACTGGCGGTGATGCCGGGAATGATGCCGGCGGCGAGGAAGCGGGTGGTGATACCGGCAATGATGCCGGTGGTGACGCCGGTAGCGACAGCGGCAACGACTCTGGAAGCGGCTCTGGCAACGACACGGGAAACGACAGCGGCAACGATGATACGTCAGCTTCGACCCTGCAGACGGTCGTCACTTCGGCCGCCCCCGCTGCGTCTTCGAACCCCGACTCGGGCAATGACTCGGGCAACGATTCCGGCAGCGGATCCGGTGACGACACGGCCACGCCCACCGATGCGGACTCCCCCTCGGCCTCCGCGTCCCTGAGCCCCGGCACACCCAGCCTCTCGGGCGCCCTGCCGTCGGCGACATCAGCACTGCCGGTCAACCCCGGTGGGTCGGGCACGGCCAACGGCAACATTCCGGCGCCGGCGGGCACGGAACTGGCGAGCGCACCGATCAAGGTGTCAGGCGCGCTCGACGGCGGCATGAAGCTGTACGACCGCGACACGGTCGTGTGCGCGGGCCAGGCGGAGGGCGGCGACGCGGACGCCATCTTCATCCTCGACGACGGCGCGACCCTGTCCAACGTCATCATTGGGCCGAAACCAGGGCGAGGGCGTGCACTGTCTGGGCACCCTGGCACGCTCGAAGAACGTCTGGTTCCAGGGCCGGTGTGCGGAGGACGCCATCACGCTTAAGCAGTCGGCCGGGCACGTCGCGCATCATCGGCGGCGGCGCCTTTGACGCCAGCGACAAGATCATCCAGTTCAACGGCTTCGGCACCGTCGAGTGACCGACTTTTTACGCCGAGAACTACGGCAAGCTCGTCCCGCAGCTGCGGCAACTTGCAAGGGCAACGCG